CTTCATAGGCAACTCAACGAGCGAATCATTACTTCCATCATCTGAGGGGAAATATGGATTGGGGTGAGTTCCAAATAACTCAGTAAGGAAAATAGTATTTAAACTATACTTTTCAAACGTTATTAAACTTTAAAGTATAGTGTATTTACATAAATGAGCGACTTAGCTTTTCGACTTGTCACGAAACGGATTCAGTTGAGATATTAAGAAAACCTTTACATTTCTTTTAAAACTCATTTAAAACATTAATATCATAATAGAATGTAAAGACAGAGCAGAATGTAAAATAGTTAAGACATAACCAGTAGTGTAATAGAAAGTAGTTGAACAAACTAAAAGCATGACAACGTCATGATAAAATATGGATGAACATATCACACGAAACTACTAGAACATGAAATATCAAACAACTATTCTTGTCAAGTCATCAAATGGTTAAGTTTTATTAATGTCTTTTATAGATTTTTGCGCGAACCCATTCTAACTTATATAAACTGAGGACAGAAGGGATCCCCAAACTACCATTGTGAATGGGCAAACATATTCATTTCCATATCAGTCTTTTCAGATATAAACTATTGACCACGATTGTACTTCACCACTGTGGCCCCCTACAGATCAGATAAGACTCGTGACAATGGCCATACTTCGCTATTGTGACCCCTACAGATCAGATCGCAAATCCACTCTCGTCAGAGGGAACGCTAGCACCATTCATAGGGAGTGGTTCACCAACATATTCAAATATAGATTCAGATACAGAAATAGAAACCTCTCAGAGATAACAGTCAAGCGGATTTTTCATTCTTTTTTATTTCTTTACTGATTTCCATTCATAATAATCACAAATTTAGGACCTGGTGGTGGTCTAATAACATATTCCGGCACTAAGACCCATTTTACCCTGACTTAACCATCAAGTTATCTTTTCAAGCCGAGACCCAATAGAATGACCCTCTCCACCATCATTGCGGGGGATTTGCTTCCAGTAGCCAGTCCTCCTTCGGACCCTCCCCTCCTTACTGTACAGCGACGCAAATTCTTCTCTCGAATTGGCTTCCTGCTCTCCTTTCGGTCGACCTCACTGCTTCCAAAACTTTCTTCCCTCCTTTATGCCGCTCCATTCTCTCTCTCTCTCTCCCCTTGAATTCAGCAGATCCGAGGTATTTATGATTGGGTGGGATGGATTTTGTACCGTTAGATTTAGGATTGATTTCTGGTCGTTGGATCTAGGGGTTGATTTCTGGATTTTGAAATTTTCTTTGTCCTTTTAAATTTGCAGAAGGCCCCCGAATTAGCTAAAAACACAAAACACCCGAAACTCTTACAAAGCAGAAGCAGATCGTCTAAGGTTTGTGTCTCGCATTTTCTAAAAAGGTAAGACAGAGGGTCAAACCCGCATATACTTCAAATCATCATGCGCTGAGTCAATCATACATTTTGTTTTACACAATGCATGTTCATATGCATATCAGATAGCAAACAAATCACATTTCAAATTCATGCATCAAGACAATTCAAAATCATAAATTAATTATATAGAAATTTACTTAGAAATGTCTGAGAAAATACTCAATAAATCCCTTACTGAAATCTTTAAATTTTTTGAGATTCGTTTGCATTTTGGGAGAAGAAAGGGAGAATCCTTGCGTCTATTAGTCCTTGAGCGAAGTTTCATGGCCTTTGAGGTCTCTTCTTTTTTTCCTTT